GGTCCCACCACTGTACTTCAGAGCCAATCAACATATTTGGGTGTCTCCTGTGTCAGGAGATGCAAAAGGAGCTTGAAGAAACACAGAAGTGTGCAACCCATGACCCAGGGAAGCACCATCATGCCAAACTCAGCCATGCCCAGTTGTTGGAAAGGCACTTAACCTCTGTCGACATATGGGTTGTTGATTGGTTAATGGTATGCAATTCACATATTTCACCTTGGTAATTTATTGCCAAGTTGAACCAACCTATCATAGTGATTTAATGCAGAAAAGGTGTGCAGCTGCCTCCTGGCCCACAAAAACACATGGAACAAGATCTTATGTGTGGTTGGGACATCTGATATCCCTGTGCTACAGTGGATATTTTGAAATGCAAAATCAATGCACTGGAGTGCAGAGAGGCTGCTTCAGAAGATTCAACAAGCACTCAATGGTACTCGCAGCATGGGAGACTATGTCGGAGATCATGTCCGTGCGTTGGAGTCCGTTGCAATCAACGGCAATGGCAGGCAATCCTGGCTCTGCCGAAGTATAAGGCAGATCCACCGGAACGGAAGCCTGTGCTGTTGCCACAGCATTGGAGACGGCACCGAATCCGTTGGGTTGATGTTGCTGTGTGTCCAAGCCTTTGCTTGCTTTTAACTTTATGGAATCTGCATTCGCAAGAAGTCAGAGTGGATATAAACCAGTAGGGGAACAGGTTCACTGGCTTCTGGTTCCTTTCTCTTCAACCTTTCTATGCGAATCTTCTGCTGGAGCCGACATGCTTGACGGTGAGTGGAAAGGGCCCCTCCCTTGCCAAAGAAGCGCCCGCAAAGGTCACACTGTGGAGCGGGGATGGATCACCCTTGCCCCGATGTTGGTAGAAGGCATGAATAATGTTGAAGGCCAGCACTGACTACACCGTTGGCCTTTGCGGGATTGCAGGAGCGTTGCGACCCTGAGAAAACAAACTCACAAGCCATCTCAACACACTGCCACCGTTCGGGTGGATCGGTCATGTTGCCTCCGGCGGCAACAGGCTTTCGGATGTTGAAATTAGTTTGGCAACGCCAGGCTGTTGTCCTAGCCATTCAGAGTTCTCCGACATATGGAAACACACATGCAAACATCCCTGGGCACATCTGCTGAAACATCACATTCACAGTGCAATTCGGGCACAAATTGTATAAGAACTTAGGACTATATTAATACTATATACTTCTGTCTTTGAACAAAATTAGAATCGAGTATGCCATCCCTTGGCTGAGATAACTGCTTCAACATGAACCTTTCAAACAGCCATCACAAATTCACGTGATGGAGCGTTTCCATACTTTCAGATGCCCTGAGTACATACCATGCCAAAGGTCACTCCAAGCTCAAGTTTGATTGGCAATTGTCATTTATGAACTCGGGGGTGATGCTGCTCTGCATGCCCTTCACCACTCACCATTTGCCTTCCCCTCTTGAAACACCCTGGTGGAACACAGGTTGGAGTACAGACTACAAGTCAGTGTGGGCAACATCGCCATGACTGACCTCTTATACATTGAAGTCATGTTCAAAGATACCCCAGCATTGAAGGTGGGCATGACTCTGTTTAGATGAGATTGCAAATGATGGTTGGCTCTGCTGGATCCCCACAACAGATGACATTTCTGGCCCTTGCAAACACGCATCAGAGCTTGACAGCACCAAAATAGGCTTGAATCTCACAACAATCCACACTGTAAATGAAGCTGTACAAAGTGGAAAGGTCCATGTAGGCCAAGAACTCTTGGTTGCAGCCTTTGCTCAGAATGACAGGTGCAACTACAGCACTAAACCAGTTCTCATTCTCCCAACTTGCAAATGTGGGTTATTTGAAGATGCAGCGCTTATCTTAGAGAAGCTTTTGCCATATGGAGAGGACTGTCATGGACCTATCTGGTTGCTTGCCTCTGATGCTACACTTAACACTGGCCCACAGGTGTACATACACTCCTCATACACTCCTCATCATGTGTCCACTGTGTGTCCATGTTGTGTCCATGTTGTGTCCATAGTGTCCACAATGTGTACATGAAGTGTCCACAAAGTATCCAAGAAGTGGACA